TTTTCATATCACTAGGGTGAAACTCGATTACTCATCAATTTTTAAAACTCGAGTCACTGAACTTACCCCGTTGGTCCATAGCAGCCGCTGCCTGCATCATAAGGCTCGAATCAGGAACTGAAGAAAACGCAGTGAGAAATCGCGCGCAAGATTGCAAGATTTCCCCCACCTGTAGTGGACAATAACTGAGGAGGAGAAGGAGAAGAAGCAAACCCGAACGGCTGTCCCGTCTTATCGCCGTTTTTGCTCCCCTGACTGCCAATGACGTTGCGGAGATATCTAATACCATCAACCTCCTCCGTGTGGTCACCAAAAGGCACGAAAAGAATCTTTTATGAACTTACTCGTTCCACGCACTCTCCCAATTTCCTGAGTGTTTATCTGTAGTGCTCTCAGACTGCGGCCGGTACGCTCGAGAGAGGCCTGCGTAGAAGCCACTTCCGCCCGATGGCAGTGATGATGACTCCCCATCACCTATGCTGCTACTGGCAAATCTCGAACGAGGGGCGTATCGGCTCGTCTCGGACTGCTGCTTCGCTGTGTACCTGACGACCCGGGTTCTATCCCTGCATGCGGTGTTTTGCACCCACGGCTGCAGAGGTGATTTAACGTTGAACATACCAGTGGAGTAAGCTCGGGAACCTAAACATCATCATCAACCAACTCGATCAGTCTACTTCATGACGATAACACACTGCAATATTCATATTCTCGATGAGAGAATATATGCACATGGTCAACTGCATGTGTGGATCACATTTGCGGAAATTCTGAGGAAAATTCTCATCGGTTTCTGTACACTTCTACCCGAATTCAAATGTAAACTTCTAAAATCAGCGAGCAAATCCCTAGACTCAGCTGAGTTCGAAAGCAAACATATATTCATAGCATATGATAGTTATAGTGATAGTTATGATAAGCTCGTATCCTTACCCCTCAGACCAGCAACAGGCTGCAGCCCTGGTGAGGTCGTCTGCTGTCCTACCAGCAGCTGCTCTCTCATCACCTCTGAATCAACTCGATCGGCTCGGAATTCAGGCCTGAAGACAACATGTAAGGAAGATTCCAAATAAATCACTACACGAGAAAATTCACTAAAACACTCCACGAATCACGGCGGAGCGAAGCAGCTTCCTCAAAATCAAATCCTCCCCTCAATGAAGCCGCCCGTAACAAACCCGAGTGCATTATTCCCCCCTCCCCCCCACCTCCACGGCTTCAGCTGCAATGAAGAGGTTATTTTCGATACCGGGTCGGTGAGTTGACAATTGGAGAATGCCTTCATCGCGTTGTATGCGCTCTCTTCCGTATCAAAGCGAACGACTGCGATTCCTCGGAAATTCTGTTGCTCGGTTTGGTCGTACAACAGCCGCATCGCCTCTATATGCGACTTGTATTCAGGACCGAATAAGTCTTCAATCTGAAGAATGATAATAATCATGACCGCACGCCACGAAATTATTTTACATCTTTTTCGGTGTAGGAAAGTGGTATGCCAGAAACGTATAAGTTACTGTGAATATTTGCCTTCCATGCCGGTCGGGCCACCGACACCTTCATACGTTTACCCTCCGGAAGGACAGTAGCTGATAACAGAGGAGGAATCTTAGCGGCAACCTCTTCCGAGTGCGGGCTCGGGGGCATGAAAAGAATCTTTCTTATTACTATTGAGAGCGTTAACTGCCGCTTCAGCAGCCTCATTAGTGTCGAAGTTTACAAAACCAAACCCCATTGATATACCGGTGCTCTTGTCGCGAACAATCTGAGGGGAAATACATTTGGAAGAAAACCGGAATACCAACGCCGTGGACAACGAAGAATGTCACAGCGTTCGAGTAGCCAAATATCGATTTCACGTATTCCCAGCCTCAAGTAAGCAACGAAGCGAGATGATAACTCCCCACACGATCAAGCACGCCGCGAAATCATCGTTTTCCCGATATAAAAATTCCGCTTTTTTGGGGGACAAGATGTATAATCACCATCACTAGATATAAATATTCGCTGACGTTCACGCGTGATGAAAGACTAATCGAGAGAGTGCTGGGGCTCTAGTTGAGGGGGAATCACCTTCACTGACTGTATCGCACCATAGCGCTCAAACATTTCCAATAGGTCTGCTTCGGCAAATGTTGATGGTAGATAGTTCACAATCAGGTTTGATTTATCCATCTACACAAAAATGACCATTACTCGACCTAATCTGTATCTTGTAGAGTCAAGCTCAAGATTCCCTACATGAATATGGGGATCTTATTAGATTAATCGAAAGTTAAATGATAAGTTATATATCCAGTTACCTGCAATAAAGATACGAAATAGGTTCCCTGCCTCCTACCCCTTATTATTACTAGCACTTTGATAGATACTATAAATCCCCAACACAGCCAGATGATGGGTCAACACAGCAAGAGAGCAGTCAACAGTCAACTCTTTTCCCTCAGACGAACGAAACTCCCACGTCGCGCGCCACGAAATTATCCATTCCGTCACGCGCCACGAAATTACCCATCCCGTCACGCGCCACGAAATTACCCATCCCGTCACGCGCCACGAAATTACCCATCCCGTCACGCGCCACGAAATTATTCCCATGGCCCCTACTGGCGGTGATCAATACACCTCTGCTGAGTTTCGAAATCGGCCCCAGAAGTGAATTCTAAATCTTTGACCCAATCTTGTAAGGGCTTTTGAATTTCGGGAGGGATCTATCTAACACATCGACTGATTATTGCAACCCGAAATTAACAGCATTATTTAATGAGTGAAAAATTCCATTTCGAAATCGACAGAATTTTATCACTCGTGTATAATCGCTCAGTATGACTCTACTTGATGCCCTTCCAGTAGAAGAGAGGACAACAGAGGGGGGAGGTGCCAAGGCTCGAGGTGGACGGGACTGGTTTATGGGAGTGGTAGTATGGGACTTATCGGCCGACGAGCGCTAACGTGGGAGGAGTGTCGGGGTGAAAACTGATAGAAAAAGCATTAAATTTCCTCCCCCGTCGGTGATGATGATGATGTTCCTCCCAGGGAATCATGATTGCAAGCGTCGTGTTCATGGTAGTGGGCCTATACGCGGTGTGTGTATCGAGGGTAATGCCCTACACCGGTATTGGAAGCTTGGATTGGTTAAAGGACGATTGGTATGATGGATAATGGTCGTGCTGTCTTGTGATGCGTCCTGGTTCGATTCCTCTTACCGTCATTTTTTCCCCATCACCCAAAGACCTCACTATAGATGCACTAATTCAAAGTAATTTCTCTCGGTGCATCTGAGTGTTGAAAATTCCACAAGTAGAATATTCGTTTGCTGTCCTCAACTGAGCTCGGGAGTTCCTTCACCACATTATAAGAGTTCAGTCGCGACTTTCGGCAGAATCTGTGTTCTAAGATGAATTTTTGTTATCAACTCCTGATGCAGGAGTTTACATATAGGGAGTTTGCTGGCTATACAAAACCAGAAATATAACAACGTATAGGGAATTACCGGACTCAGCTGAGGACAGCAAACATATATTCCAACACTCTCGATTCGATCTGTGATCCACCACCACATATACCCTCATAGGTACTACTCCTGCCTTATTCCCGCCTTAGTCCCCCTCTACTTTATTTTTATGCTGTGGCAATGGACAAGTACTCAGTATTTCCGATATGCTTGATAGCAACTGCTGCTCTCACCGGTGGTTTTGGGTTTTCAATTAAAATCGAGGAAGTTTTATGAGGGTTTAAATGGATGATGATTCCTCGGTCGTCTCACCGTTGATCGGGGAAGCAGAGGTTGGGCATGATCCGTATCTTACCAACAGCAACCTAAGATACCCCTTCCAGGTGGCAGCGTTGACAATGTGCTCTTCATATCATCCTCATTCTTGCAGGTCTACAAGGAGCTCATCTTAGCAAGGCCGACCCGCTTCCTCCTCACACTGGGCCTTGCCCTTTCCCCAGCAGTCATCATGCTAGTTTGCTGTACGCGAGGAGGGGGAGGGGGGCCGTGATAGACAGTGTTGGAGGCAAACACATTTACACATTACTTCGGGTTGAGGTGCGCAGAAACCAACGATAAATCCACAAAATTTCTTAGAAATTTTCATATTATTATCAGCCCACGTAGTTGAGCATGTGCATATTTTCCAACACTGATCGAAAACCGTGTATGATAGAGTTGAACGGCTCGGAGATCTTCATCAGAATTGTTATGATGTTTTCTTTATATCAGCTCTAACCAAACTACACAGCTTCCTCGTGGCCATGTTTGTAATGCACATACTGTCAATGCTGCTGATCCCGATCGTTATCATACGTTACGATGAGTCAAAGAAGTGGTATAGGGAATACTTCCTCGAGGTGAGCGATCATCATTGGGGTCGATTATATATGGGAATCATCACTCTAGCTTGCAGTACTCAGTATGCACTACTTCTGTTCGGGATGATGTGGACATCACTGTTGCCTAATTGCCTACTAGGAATATATTCATCATAGATTATTTATAATATATACAGTACGCGCCATCTAGAAACGCGCGAACTGGGCGGGCACTTTTTTCTTTCATTTTGACGAATTTCGACCTAACTCTTTCACTACTGAGCTCCCCATGCTTGATTACCTATAGATCCAAGTCGCGCATTTGAAACTCGACAAAAAAACATTTTGGTCTTTTTTACCCTCAGTGCCGAGAAGTCTATGCCAGTTTTGGACAATTTCTACTCCTTGATGACCTGTTCTCAAAACCCAATATCGAAATGGAGAGCAAATTCATTGGAAACACACACAACTTGAGAAATTAGACTATACGTCTCCGGTTAAACTCGCCAACGTTGAACGTCGGACTGCCCTGTAGGAGCAGGCAACATTCACGCTGGCCCTCGATGCTTTCGAAGCTCCTTTCTTAGTCGCTTTATCTCCTCCAAGCTCATTCCCTCCATGCAAGACTTAAGATACTCCCTTGATGACCTGAAGTGCTTGCGAATAAGCAGCAACGTCAGGTCGGCAGGCCCCTGGCAGCGCTCTACTCTTCGGACGAACCCTGCTGATGACTTGGAGGAGTTCCCTATCCTAATGGCCTTAGCGATGGAGCGGTAAGCTGCCTCTATTGGTGCCAACTCTGGGTGAAATTTCACACCATATATGACTCGGTCACCGCGGGCCTCAGCTTCTTCCTGGAGCGGAGTTTTCTGGGAAGCGAAATCATCACAATTAGAGAGTAGGATGACCAGCTCGTCCTGCTTCTTGCCCACTACTGCCGCTTCCCCGGACCTCTCCAGTACCACCTGCCGGAGTCCTTTGGGTAAGCCAGCGTATCGAGGATGGTCCACCGGAAAGACCATTTCCTGGACAACGCGTCGGCCATCGCGTTCATACCAACCTGCGCGCATTCGAGGCTGCTTCCCTCCAGGCTTGACGTTCATAGCCTTGGCGTTGAAACCATCCTCCGGATACTTGCAGTGTATTGGGCTCCGATCGGTCAAGAAGACACACCCAAGCTTCCCCTCAGAGAGAGTCTTGACGGCCTCACTGCATTCTGCGAAATCCACAAGGCACCGTTCATTGTAACACACAAGGCACCGTTCACTGCTTGAGCTCGAGTCTTCAACCTCAGAGACTTTCTTTTACGCGATTTAGTCCAACCGATAGCACGTTTGTGGTGGATAGTCAGGTTGTCCTCTGCACTAGAAGCTGCTCGGCCAGCAGAGGTGGTGGAATTCTGGCTAGGCCCGATCTCTTCGAGACTTAACAGCTGCTCTAGGATGGCCATTCGATGACATTGAATTCACGTGTCAAATTGAATTGTGACCGTAGCTAGGTGTGGAAGGCTGGAGTGATTCAATAAGCGTCCCCCAGGACGCTAGGAGCGCACCGAAT